TTGGGTCTGTAGGACATCCTGGAGGAGTTGAGTCAGCTACAGCAGGTGCCCATATGAGCTTTCCCTCTTCATTCTTGAGCATTTGGAGACAGTTCAATATGGGGCACAGGGGCAGGGTTGTGGCAGAGGGCAGGTCAGCAGAGACAACCAGGTAGATCAGAGGGGTCACAGAGATGGGCAGGGTAGCTTCACAGGCCATCACAGAGGCATTGGTTATTCTTTGGGGAATAAAGAGCCATTGATGGGTTGCAAGCAGAGTGGGGACCTGGTCTGATGATTTAAAAGAGCACCTGGGTGCTGTCTGTAGGCCAGGAGGTACTGGGGCCTGTGGAGGCAGGGACAGGAAATCCCTCAATGACACACCTAATGCAGCACCCTCAGCATTGAGAGCAGAGCAGGCACATGGTGGATGCATCCCAGTGTGATCAGGCTCCTAGCTGACCATGGATAGGATGGCTCAAACCGTGGAATCCATTCCTGCCCAGTTCTAGAGGTCAGAAGTCTGTGATTGAGGCGTCAGCAGGACAGCCCCAGAGCAAGACCCTTTCTCACCTGTCCTAGCTCCTGGGGACCCCCAGAGTTCCTTGGCCTATACAGCATCACTCCCATTCCTGCCTCTGTGGTCACCTAGCCTTATTCCTTGGGTCTTCTAAGACAATTGCCATTTGAGTTAGGCCACCCTGAACCCAAGATGATCGCGTCAAAAGATCCTCCACTTAATTACATGTGCAAAGATCCTTTCTCTAAACAAGGTGGCATTCACAGGTCCAGGGGGCAGGGCTATGCATGCTTCTTTTATTTATTTATTTTACATATACATGTGTTTATTAGGTTTCCACTTTTTGCCTTCACAAAATTAAAAAGGCTTAAAATTTAATAACAATAACAATGTTTAAGATAAGGACTAAAACAAAAACCTCATAAAGAACAAAGGAAGATAAATACATTCAGAAAAGAAATCAGATGATTGCTGCATCGAAAGATTAAGCAATAATAATAATAATGCAAAGAAAGTAACATTCACATTGTCAGATAAGAGTATGTCTATCATAGAATGCTTTGACTCTGAGGTTTGGTATGGAGTCATCAGTTAACTTAGTATTTTTTTCCAAAGTCTCAAAAAATAAACAACTAATATTTATAAATAAAAGTAAAAGATAATTTCAAAAAACAGATCATGCCAAATCTTATAGACAATAGAAAAAGAAGAAATACTTCAAAATCATTCTACTTAATCTGGATACACCTGATATTAAAATTAGAGAAAATATATTATTATAAAGGGGAAATTATAAACATTTCACTTATAAATGAGGGTACAATATCCTAAACAACTTATTACCAGGTTGAATTAAAAATTAATGTTTAAGTAATGTGCTTTGGTCAAAATTAAATCCAATTTATGTGAGAATTAGTCACTATTTTCTTTTCTTTTCTATTTTTTTTTCTTCTTTTTCTTTCTTGTACGTTTCTTTTTGAGGGCTAACACTGAGCCCACTGCAGTGGGGCCCATAAATGCCTAACAGGTGAATGACAGTGTCTCCCACAGCCTGTGCCTTCTGGCCCCTCTGACACCTCTGACCTCCCCTGCCTCTCTGCTGTTATGAGAACACTCTGGGGCTACTTGTATCTCACCTCCTTTGAGGAGTGCCCTTCCCAGATACTCCAAGCATTCTCTCCACCTCTTCCAGGCCTCTGCTCCAGGCCAACCTCGTCATGAGGCCTACCCTGCTTACAAAGCCCCCGAGCACCTTGTCCTCCTTCTTATTCTTTCCCCCACCTCTCTGTCAGGGTGTCCTGCGTGTGGATAGTGCCTTTCTCTGTGTGTGGGTATGTGGGTGAGCAGATGGATGAAGGGAGGGAGGGATGGATGAATGGATGAGTGGGTAAGTGGGTGGATGAGAGGATGAGTGGGTGGAAGAATGGAGCAACTGGGATGAATTGAGAATATGGAAGGGAGGGAGGAGAGCAGCAGGCCGAGGCAGGGCCTCCACACCCCAGTGAGGCTAGGCCAGCCCTGAGGCTGCTAACCTGGAAGGACTGGGAGGAACATCTGGCTGTGCCCCGGGCTGCAGAGGTCAGGGGAGGTCCTGGGGGTCTTAGGTGCCAGCAGTGGGTGTGGAGCCAGGCTGCAAGAGTGAGAAAGCTGCAGGGGAGACCCTGGGTGGGGACAGCCAGAGGGGCATGGGCACAGAAAGGACCAGTGTTGAAGTGACCTGAGGCTGGGTGGTCAGGAGAAAAAGGGCCCTGGGTAGTAGGGCTGGGGTCTGGGCCTCCACCCCAGCCCCAGGAGGACTGGCACAGGGATGCTATGGGCGCTCAGGGCTGAATCCTGGCACAGAGACTGGTGGAAACTTCTAACCTGCTCTCAGATCTGGAGGGTCTCAGCTCCTGGGGGGGTTGTGGGGTGGGCACTACTCCTGGGCCCTAGACCTCCACGTCAACCCTCTCTCCAAGGAGTAGAACCAGGCTTATGCCAGCCTTATCTCTGCCCAGTCAGAGGGCTGCCCCATGAGAAGCACAGTGTCCCTCACATCCACCATTATTTCCTGATCCCCAGCCCACCCCATCTTCAAGCTTAATCTCACCTCCTCCAGGCAGGCCCCTGACCACCACCCACCTCTGAGCTTTGCTCATGGTGCTGGCTGGAGCCCTTCCGAGGGCTTCAGTGACTCCTGCAGCACTTTCAATTTTGGGAGAGGTATAAGTCCCCAGGTGGGAGCAGCCCTGGGTCCCCATCTCCAGCTAAGTTGTCCAGGCTCTCCGGAACCTGGCCCCAGATCCCAAGGTTGGATACCGTTTCCTGGGTTTGACAGTGGTGGGCCCCTTCCCTTGGGGCACTCCATCTCTGAGAACTTGGCATCTGAAACTGCCCCTGGCCCCCAGCACATGTATGTTGTGAGGGGTGCACATCACTTAGGCCCCCACCCCTCCCTAGGGCTCAGCCACCTCCTTCCCGTCCACAACTTAGTGCCCAAGCAAAAGACAGGAAGACTCAGAAAATAATATTTTAAATGCTTTATTGGGGGTTGCGAGCATTACATGTTAAAGACAAAACCCAAGCACTGGATTTTGCCAGAAATATCAGCAATGTTAAAGGAGTTAAGTTGAGGCAAACGCGGCCACTGCAAGATGGGCTGACACAGTGGCAGGTGACTCTGGGCGTTTGGCGCGTGGGGGGTCTTCAAGTGATGGTCAAGGGGGGACCCAAAAGGTGGTCCCACTGAAGACATTTTGTGAGACATGGGGAAGAGACGGATGGAAGGCCACGCAGGGCACGGGAGGTCAGGTGGGGAACCCGGGTCAGGATGGTCAACAACCCAGTGGAGAGCTGCAAACTGGGGGACACAGAGGATGGTTGGCAAGTGCCCCTGGAGCACCCATCCCGAGGCGGCAAAATGTGACAGTGGTGGGCTGGGCGTCCAGCTGAATGGGCAGGCAATTTAGGGTGCCTCCATATCTTTTGGATTTCAGGCCAATGTATTTGTGTTTTCCAATTATGGCAATTTTGTTCTTTGGGCTTTTGTCCAATGTTCCGAATGGTCCATTCTCCAGGCACTTGCCAAGGGACCCTCTGTGCCTTGGGTGGGCTGGGATAGACGACCCCCAAGGTCATGCCAGCCCTGTCACCAGGACCCCGAAGCCACCGGCCTCTAGACTGCTAGTCAGACTGCCATGTAGGGGGGCTACACTGGGGGCAGAAGTGGGGGCGAGGTAAACCTCCCAGCTGCCCTGGTCCCTACTGCAGTCCTAGGCGCCGTGGGGGTGGCTGCTACGGTATCGCCAGACCTGTGGGCCTCGGGGCCCAAGTGACCCCTGGCAGCTTTCCTGCTCTGCGGGTTCAACTCTCCTGACCACCCCACTCCCTGGCCTCACCCTACCTTGCCCCTAGGAGGCTTGCGGAGCTTCAGACCTCCTAGGTACAAGGCAGGGCGCTGAAGAGTGGGCAAGATGTCACTGAGAGAGGGTGGGTGAGTTCCCCAAGTGTGCGGAAGGCGGCCACCTGCTCCCGCCTGGTAGAACCCCTCTGATTACACACAAACAGTCCCTTCCCCCCCAGCCAGTCTTGGGCCAGCTGGGGGCCCCATCCTTGTGGCCACCGAGCACCCTCCTGACACCTGGGGAGACACCGCCCCACCCCCTCCTCCACCCTTCAGAACCTCCAGGGACCAGCCACTGTCCCTGGAAGCCAGGCCAGGCAGTGGCCCTTTCTATTCCCCTCTAACTACTCCATGGGGCACAGTGGCCGGCACCCCACGGAGGCCCCACTCCCAACTTAACCCAAGCGACAGGGACAGATCCAATACAAAAATCAATAAGGTGGTTAAATGGCGGAGAGCAGGACATGGTGATCTTGTTGATGGCTTCGTGCGTTCCTTACTTGGTCACTGCCCCCCTGTTACATAAGGAGTGGGTATAATTTGGCGCGCATGAAAGCAAAGGAGGGGGAAAAAAAAAGAAAAAAAAAAAAGGAAAACTGCCCCAAGAAACAAAGGGGGGAGAAAGATCAATTGACATGTAAATTTGGGTTCCTAATCCCTTTCCATAGTTCTGCAGACCTCCTGTCACTTCTCCTGACATTTGCTCCGAATTTCTCTGGACCACTTCCTACCCCAGAGCTCCCCCCACCCAGCCCCCACTGCCCCCCACCCGCCCCTCCTATCCTCCAGACATCCCACACTCCCCGGCATCTTCGCCAGAACACTGGCAAAGATGATCCCTAGGTGTGCTCGGTGGGGGGGGGCCCCCCGGATCTTTCTACTGGGAGCACACCTAGGGTGTCAGGCTGCGGGGGCAGGTCTTGCTTGGCTACAGCCATCTCCAATCTGGCCAAACTCATTCTTCTTTTGGTGGTAGGTACATGTGAGTGTGTGTTCTTACGTGTGTGTGCATATGTGTGCATGTGGATGCAGGGAGGGAATGCTATGGGTGTGTGCTTTTTAGGATAGGGATTGAGATGTAAGATTTTAGGTGTCAGGGGTTGTGCCAATTAAATTTTATTTGTATGGATTTTGGTTTTCATGTTCAATTTTCTCTGCTTTTGGTCTTGTTGGTTCCCTTCAATCAGTGCTGGGACAATTTTTAGTGATGGAAAATTGACCGAAGAATGAGTTTGGATGTTGTTGTTGAGATATAGTCAATCTGAAGGGAGATGGTGCGGAAGCAGTGGCATGCCCACCTGCAATTTTGGGTCCTTCCTTTCTCTTTACTGATTCAGGGACTTAAGTCCAGGCCAATTTGACTTGAAGTCCAAAGGGGAAGAGAAGGAAGGGGGGGGTGCCAAATTCCTTTAATTTGCCAATTGTTTCTATGCCAATTCATTTTTTAGTATTTTTTCAGCCAATTGATTTTTTGGTTGTTGTTTTTTTAAGCTAATTAGCTTTCCTGGTGTTTTTAAAAAGCTAATTAGTTTTAAGGGGGCTGGTGTGTGAATGCATGTGCTTGTGTGGTTTGGAGATTTATATTTTCAATTTTTTGACATGTATGTATAATTTGGAGATAATTTAGGGGGTCATGGGGGGGTTGGGGTGGGTATTTAAAGCCAATCAATTTTGGTTATTTTTGAAGCTGTTAAATGGTGTTCCCTCAGCCCGATGGACGGGGCCCAGGGAAGCAGCCTGACTTGGGGAGGCGGGGCAAGGGGGCTGGGCTGGGAGAGTCCTGGAGGAGGAAGTAGGACAGAGAAATGTCGGAGGTGGAACCTGCTGGAAATGTCCTTGGTCAGGAGGTCACAGGGCGATGATACCATGCTGCAGAACTACGTCACTTTGGTTCACTTCTGATTGTTGGGCATCTCCGGAGAGGCGTCCCCGTGGGCGGGGTCGTGGGTGGGCAGGGCGGCCAGGACACTGGGATGTTTGGCATCCCTGGCCGCTTTGAGCTCCTTGGTGATCACACGGCCCCGGCGGGCGCGCAGGAGGGCAGGCAGGCCCCTGCGCAGGCGCTGGGTGGACTGCTTCCAGGTGTCATGTTGGAAGAACTTGCCCACGGGGTATCTGGGGAAGTTGTCCTGAGGAGGGAAGGGACCAGTCACCAGGTGCCCACTCCTCGGTCCTCCACCCAAGCTGCCCACCCTCCTGCATGGGCCTCTCTTGGCGACTTGACAGGGACTCTGGGTCACATCTGTCATTTTGTGGCCACAGTGTGACTAGTCAATAGTGTCCATGGTGGTGGAGTGGGACAGTTGCTCTTCCAGCCAGGAAGCTGGCTGCACCCTTACCCTGGGCTAAGAGCCGCCCCCAACTTCTGTAGAAGACAGCTAGAGAAAGGAGAAAGGTCGCCGGGGGCCCTCACCGGAAGCACGGTCGGAGGGGTCGACACGTCCCTCTCGGACTTGGCGGGGGTGGCACAGTAGGTCTCCAGAAGGGCCAGGTCACAGCTGCGGAAGCAACACTCCTCCACGATGCCACGGCTGCGACGGTTCACACGGCTCGCGGGCCTGCCTGGAAGTCCCACAGGATAGAGGAGCTGACATTAGCATCTAGCACCCACTGGGCCCAGGGCCTGGGGGGTGGGCCCCCCAGCAGGGGCCTGGCCTCCCTTCAGGGGTGGGGAGGAAAGTGAGAGCTGCAGACAGAGGTGCCCGGAAAGGTGAAGAAAGAGGTGAGGTGCATGCACTAGGCCCCTGGCCTCAGGTGCCTCCTTCCTCAGATTTAAAATGGACCAGGACTCTTGGCCCCAGGGCTGGATAGATACTGCCAGGACTAGAGGCTCACAATGAAGGTGCTTTGGAAACGGGTATGAACCTAGTTCAGAGGCCACTGACTGAATACAAGTGTGGCCTCTGAACTTGGCCTCTCACCCGCCACCATGTTTGAGCCTGGAGGGGCCCACGTACCCCTGGAGCCGCCAGGGCAGGGAGAAAAGGGCAGGAGAGGAGAAGACGGGAGGAGAGGAGTGAGGAACCGAGATGGAACAGCTCTCTTCTTCCCTCCCGCCTTCCCCCTCTCCCCCACAGTGTGCCCGGCTGCAAGGAGGAAGTCACTGGCAAAGGGCCCGTGCCATCGGTGGGAAGAGGGAGAGGGACCCCATCGTGGGGTCCCTAAAGTGGGGGCTAGGCTTACTCCTCCTCTCAGGAGAGCCGGATGGGCACCAGGCCCCCTGCAGTGCCACTTCCTGGCCCCAAATGAGGCAGGCAAGGGGGTGGGGAGGGCACAGGAGAGGCCAGGGTGGGCGGGGCTTCAGGGTGTCAGCGGCAGGCGCACTTTCCAGACAGAAGCTTCAAAATGCATTTGTGTCCTGGGAGCCCATGTCATAGTGTGGGTAAGTAGAGGCTGCAGAGGATGCCAGGTAAGTATTGAGTGGAAAAGACAGGGCAGCCCATGCCAGCAAGGAGAGCCACCACTCCTGATGGGATGGAGCACGCTTCCAGGGTCAAGCTTGTCCCAAGGCCCCACCCAGGTGCCCACCCAGCCCCCCTCTTCTGGGGGCTGAGTCTGAATGACAGCCAGCAGTGAGCCCACCCACCAGCCCCCCAGGCTGGAAATCAGGTGAGAAATGTGAGGAGCAGTCCAAGCACTTTTGGGGACAGCAGGCAGGCACCACACATGGGGGCCCTGGGGCCCCAAATACCCCCCCCATACCTGCCCCTCCCCTGGGCTGAGTCTGCTGGGAAAGCTCTGACACCCCACAACCACATTTGCTTTTATTTGTTTTGATTTTAAATCTATTATCACATTTTAAATCTGATCATCCATAAACATACGCCCCTTGTCAAAGTGCCCACAAAGTGCAGCAGGTGAATGTGAGTGCATGTGTCAGGGCCACCAGGCAGGGCACACAGCAGGCGCTCAGCAAACACCGACAGGGAGGCCGAGGCCTCAGACCAAGGTGGGCTGGTCACCTTGGAGTATGCTCCTTAGCCAGGCTAGGTGTTCTCATCTGTCACCCAGGGAGGTCTCACCTAGGTCTGCTGAAACCATCCCACACTGACTGAGCACCTGCTGTGTCCACCCCCCAGCCCCACCCCCGAGCTACTTACTGAAGTAGAAGCCGCGGTCCCCACAGACAAACTGGAGGGTGTCCACCAGCTCCCCGCCGCACAGGGTCTCACTGGGGCGGTAAGCAGCAATGCAGCACGAGGCAAAGGCCAAGAAGGTGAGAAGCACCAGCATCGACTTCCCCATTGGGACTCCCATTGGTATCTGGGGGCAGGAGAGACATGCCATGAGCCAGGTGCTGTCAGGTTGCCCAGCCATCTCGGACGTTAAAATGCAATGGAAATTTTAAAGCATGACTTTCTTATAAATGTCACTAATTATAAAAATAACTCGCACACTTTAATTGCTGAGGTGGTGGCACGAGGTCCCTTCAAAAAGGAATGTCTCAAGGTGCACAGAAAGGGCTCAGTGACTCCGAGTTGCAAGAAGTGCTAATAATTTGGGGTGACCATCCCCATTATCACTATTGCAGGATCTCAGCAACACCCAGGGGCACCAGAGCCCTTGCTAGACAGTGAACCTAGCCTCCATCCTATGACATTGTGGAGGTGAAGCCGTCTCAAGGGGCTGTCACCAGTTCTTGGGCCTCCATGCACTTCTCCCCCCATCCCCCAGCTGAGCAAGGGGGTCCAGGAGGACCGCCCCCGCCCAGAGCAGTCAGCCCCACCCCCACCCTCTCTCTGTGACTTTTCCATCTTTCTAGTCTGGGTCAAGGATCCAGTGGTCAGCACACTCAGACCCTCCCCCCCGACTCCCAGGGGTCTTATTCTCCTGTGCTACCCAGTCTTCCATCTTCAGTCTGCCCTGGGCACCCTACAATACGTGGAAAAGCCAAAAGCTTCCTTCTAGGCCTTGAATCACATCAGATAAGGCCAGGGACCTCGAAGTCCCTCTGCGACCACCAAACTCTACCAGTGGGCACTGGAGAAAGCAGTCAGGCCATCTGGGAGGCCGGACATCAGGTCTCTCCAGGTCCACTCTGGAAGGGGAGGCACATGTTAAGACACACCCCCTCCATAGGGCTCGTGGCTGCAGGGCCACAGGGGAAAGGTCTAGCCAGCTCCCTCAGGGTGGGGGTCCTGGGACCCACAGCAGGCTATCCTGCTCCTGCAGAAGGTGGAGCCCTCCAGGCAGGCAGCCCCGGCTGCCCCAGGCCCAGGGGAGTTTGTGATGCAATAAATCATGTGAGAGCAGGAAAGGAAGAAACACAACCTCATTTATGCTCTCTCACGAGCAGCAGGCAGCTCCACAGGAAGACTGAAAACCACCCGTCTCCTCTTGACTGGACCCCAACCAGCCTCCCCACCACCCCTGCTACCCCTTCCCAACCCTAAGAACGCACTCAGCCAGCTCCCACCCAACTGTGGCTGGGGGCTGCAGCTCCGCCCTGCTGCCTTGGGGACCCTCTAGAGAACCTCACCACTCTGGCGTGGGAGGTCTAGCCCAGGGCACTGGCAGAAAGCAGGGGGCTGAACAAGAGGCACACAGAGGTGCAGGACAGGTGAGGGCCAGGAAAAGCCTGGGTGCTGGACATAGAAGAGGCACAGGGAAGAAGCAGGAGAGGAAGGAGCAGGTGAGGAACCAGAGAGGCAGGAGGAGGGGCTGGCGGAGGCGAGAGGCGCAGGCCAGCTACAGGGGCCGCCAAGTCTGGGCTGGTGCCCTGAGCTGCCGCAGGCTGGAGTAGGATGGCAGCCGGGTCCTCACTGGACAGCCGTGGTTACCTGCAGCTGGACAGGAGGTTCACTGGGGCTGAAGAGGAGGAGGAGGAGGAGGAGAGAGCTGGAAGTGCCTCTGGCAGGAGAAGCCAATGTCCAGCTTGCAGGCTGGTCAGTGCCTCAGCTTTTATGTCTGAACCGGCTCCTCCCAGCCCCGGCTCCACCCCGGCCCCGCCCCCTGCCCACTGACCACTCCCCCCGCCCCTTTGCTCCCCGCCCCTCCCTCCTCCAGCCTGTCCCTTCTCTCCTGCACCCCCCACCGTCAGCCCTGGACCATCTCTTAGCACAGTGCCACGGGGGGCTCATCCTGCAACCCTCAGCCCAACTCCGCACAGGGCAAGGAGGAGAGTGTCACGCTCCACCTCCCTGTATGGAAACTTCCATGCTGCCCACCGCGCAGGAGCAGTTACCCCTCTCTGGGGGTACACTACTGCCGTTTTGAGCCTCGGAGCAGCCCCTCCCCCCAGATTCCTGTTGGGAAATGTTGGGGACAGAGAAAGAGGGGATATGGGGGATACACTGCAAATGTGGCGTCTGGCATGACTCCTGCCACCTCGCCCTCGCTCCATCCTGGCCCCGCCCACCAGTCTTCCTCCCAGTCGCGCTGGCACCAAGTCAACATACCAGGGTGGGCTTTTTAGCCCTGCCCCCCCCCCACAACCCCGCACCCCGGGGGCCAGAACACACACTCTCACGCACTCTCCACAACACCTCCCAAACCCACAAACCGACCAGGAAGTTGCCTTTCCGACAGCTCACACCTCCCTTGGCGCTCCCCTGAGCCCCCGCCCCCCCCCAACCCCACAGTGCGAGGGTGAGAGCGGGTTCGTGCCAGGGAACGAGACCCACAGCCTCCCTTCCTCCTCTCCTGGGCTCAGCCGGCCCGCGCCAAGCCCCTCAGGGCCGGACCCGGAGCGGCGCGGGAGGAAGGGCCAGGCGTCCGGCGCAGCTCGCGCTGCCCGGTCGGCACGGCCCGCCCGGGCCCCGCACGCCGCTTACCTGAAGCCGGCGACGCTGCCGCCCACCTCCCTGCTGCGTATCGCAAACCGAACAGCGGGCGTTGGCCCTCCTGCCGGACACTCCTCTGCCAGCGCCGCTCTGGCCGAGTCGCGGGTGCCGAATGTGCGACGGGGCAGAACGGGGGGATGGCTTGTTTTGGGGGGGTGGGATTTCTCTGATCGTTTTAGGGAGGACGGGCTGTCTTCGGGCTGGGGCGGGCCAGATGTTGTACTTTTCGGGGGGAAAGGGTGTCGGGAAATGAGGTCAGCTGTTGTACGAAGGACAGAGAGGGGCAGAGATAGTGAGAGAGACAGAGTGAACGTGAAAGGGGGGGGGCAAAGAGAGGGTGAGAGGGAGAGAGGACAGCGAGGGGCGGGCAGGCTCACAGCGGGAGAGAACAGAGTGGAGAGAAACAGAAAGCGTATAATTAATCCACTTTGGTTCAGCGAAGGCGAGAGGGCGGGCGTGAAGGGGGGAGGGAGTCGGAGGCAAGGAACTGGGGGGGACGGGAGGGAGCGAAGGGAAGGTGGCGGGAGAAAAGAGAGGAGCCGGGGCCAGATGCAGAAGAGGGGAAAGGGGAGCACAGAGAAGCCAGGAAAGGGCGCAACGTCGGGGACCGGGGACGGTGCTGATTGGGGGCGGAGTGGAGGCGTCTCCTGGGTCTCGGGCGCCCAGCTCGGTTTGGGCCGACGGAGCCCTCTGCCGTCGCGAGCCCGGACCTGGGGGGAGCAAGCGGTGGCGGCGCCTGGTTCGCTCCGGGACGCAGCGCGGAAGGGGGAGCGGCCGAGGCTGCGCGTCGGGGGAGGGCTGGGGGGGAGCGCGGGGGATGACAACGCCGGCGGCCTGCGAGCCGGACTGCCTGCGGGGGGAACCGCCTCCTCCGGCGAAGCTGGGACGGGTGTTGAGGTAGATGGAGGAGGAGACGGCGGGGAATCCGCAGGCCCGACGGAGCGCGACCCCGCCGACGTCGCCCGGAACGGGAGTCAGCAGCAAGACGGGCGTCGACGCGGGGCCGCCAGCCCGGGTGGAGGCGCTGGCGGGCCGAGCGC